AGTTCATGATCACCACACAACTGGAGGAGTTGATCTCCGTTGTCCCTGTGACGAGCACTGACTCCGAATCGACCGCCCAAATGCGATTCCAATGAGCTCAGACGACCGACTTGGGTATTCATATCGCTCGCAAGGTTCATAATCTCAGTGCTTCTTGCTTGATAAAAAGGCTTGAATAACTCGATAGAAAGTATTCCTCTCAGCGTCAGAACTACAATCCGTTAGGACGTCCAACGATACAAACGGACAGCGCTTTTTATGCCCAGGGGCATTGTCTTGATTGGGCGGGACAACTGGATGGGATCAAATCCAGCAAAGCGCGTTCAGCTCTGGGGCTGAGTGCAACTCACATGCCATATATTCGCTTCTGGCTCACCAGACAGACGGAGGGGGGAATGTGAAAGAACAAAGTTTGTCCTGGGATGCATAACCCAGGTTGAGTATTACATGTGTGTTTCGGAGACACAGCACACATCCGTTTTAAAGGGTTTCAGTGATCATTGCCTGTTAGACATAGTGTACGGACGTTATTATTTATTTATTTTGCGGACGTCAAAAGGGTCTCGTGGATTTAGGAAGGTATTTTGCTTACTGCTAATAGACGACAGACATAAGGCCCATCGGTCAGATAACTGACGGTCAAATGGCCTAGCAACGTTTGCTTGTGGTGGTAAGGGTTTGGGGAAGGACATTGGTGGACACAGATCTGTGCGGACAAGCGATACTTCCCGGTTTTCCAGGCCGACGAAGATGATGTGATTGAGGGACTCAACCTTGAGCCTTTGACTGACCCACAGACTAGTCGGAGGATGTGGGCTTTGGCATGGGGACCCTGGTTATAGCCTGTGACTCAAAAGTCTGACCCGTGAGGCAGCGGGGGCCGTCCGGTTCCGATGACTCAACATTCTATAGAGGGTTGGCCTAATCCGAGGGCGCGGGGAGTAAGGCTGTCTCACTCTTGAAACAGCTGTACGCAGTAGGTGCCATTTGGGAAGCACCGCACTCTGGTTTTAGGAATATTTCAACGATACGGATAATCCGGAGGCGGTCACGGAAAACCGTTGGGTAATAACAGTGTGAGGTTTTCAGGGCCGACTTTTTCCAACTCGTTCTTCCTCAAAGAAAAGCAGCACCGCTACTCCCAGACCGCCTCGTAGCACGATTACTGGTGGTACGAGGTCTCACTGCTCTTGATGTGATTGCTCCCCTTTGGCAATTCTAAGATGGTTGGACCTTAGAGAACGATGTTACAACCAGTGTAGCCAGTGGGATCATTACAGCACTCGAGTCCGACCACCACATCAAAGTGGCAACTTTGGGTCGGGATCGTGCGGTGTTATCGGCTGCCTTCCTTTCCTTTCACACCCCCTTTCTTTCCCTCACCCACTGCATTATTAACTGTGTCCTTGCAAGCCCACCTGTTCGTCTCGCATCTGTTTAGGCCGCAACATCTGGGCGTCATCCGAAGCTGACAGCCTCAGAACATCTTGAACCCATTTTCAAGCCTCAACGCCCAGCCTATCTGACCGCACACACTGAGGCAAGTAGGACAACACGCTGCTCATGCTTCCTTTCAACACAGGTAGATCACGAAGTTAGATGAATTGATCACAACCTCCTTCAGCTTCACCATCAGATGTGAATTCGTGGTAGAACGAGACCGC